CAGCAAATCGAGTGGTGGACTGGATTCTGGTTCCTCCGGAGAGGACTCTCTATCTGAAAAGGAAGCAGCGGCCCCAAAGAGTCCTTACAAGCTGCGGAAAAGATGGGGAAAAGAGAAGTAAGGCTGAAGGACTCTGAATTGTGCCTTGGGAAATGATGAAAAGGGATAACTTGGGGTTATTGTCTTTGGACAGTGAAATTGTAAAAGATTTTTAGAAAGAAAAAGTAATAGTAATGTTTGACTCAGTTTGTTCAATGTTTAAAAGAAGGGAAGTTTCAATTTAATTAAGCCAATGAAGATCTCCTCTCTTGGGTTTTTAGGTAGTTGTGGGCACCTTTTCTTTATCCTATATATGTAGTCCCCTTCCCCTTATTTCTGTAGTAGTTTTTTGTACTTTGCAAAAATAGTAAAAAATCTCCTCCGGGGGCTTAAAAAAACAAAAACTTGAAGGTTACCATTGTCTGTTCATCCCCCAGCATGGACCTCACATCTCTGTCCTCTCCTGGTGGTAGAGAGCACGAGGTCCAGGGGGAACAGGGCACTGTCCTAATGAAAAGGGGAATGTCCCCTCAGAAGCAAGAATATTATATGCAAAATATTGGAAACAAATGGAAGCACCAAAGAAGCAAGAATATGTGAATAAACTGTTGGAGATGGCTGAAAATGACAAGCTGTCATCGTTGATGAGACGGACAACAGACCCAACATTTCAAAAGACGTGGAAAAAACTGTATGACTGGTATAATATAAATGCAGCGTTTAAAGTAATGAAAATTTTGGTATTATGAATCTCTTGTAGTTAAATAGAAACTATGGTAAAAAGATAAAAGTATACAGAAACTTAAGCAAACCAATAGAAAGTGATTTAAGAAAAAAATTTAAATATGGTAATAGAGTAATAAGAAAATATACTGATCTCTTTGTATGTCTTACGTATGTAAGTGGTTGTTTGTTTATATGTTGTATGTATGTATATATGTATGTATGTGTATAATATGAAAAATAATAAAAGTGTACCTATGGGTACTTTAAAAAAAAAAAAGAAGAAGGGACCCCTTCTGTAGTTGGTGAACAGGTATCCTTTTGCATCAAGGAACCATCCTTGAGCACTTGGTAGTTGATGATTCAGTCCTTAATACATGTAGACAGATGGGTGGCGGACCCACATACTGACTGAAGAGTAAGTGTCCAGCCTGGTGCGAAGGTCGTGGGCATTGTGCATAATCTAGGCTGGTAGACAGTGCCGAGGAGGAGCCAGTGGTTGTGAGGCATGTTGGCACCAACAATGTGGAGCAACGTAGCCATGTGGTCCTGGAGGAAAAATCTAGGTTGCTAGGCAGGAGACTCAAGGTCAGGACCTCCAAGGGAGCCTTTTCAGAAGGGCTGCCTGTTCCACAAGCAGGGACAACTAAACAGGCACAAATTAGCAGTCCCAGCGCGTGGATGAGACAACGGTGTAGGGCATAAAACAGCTTCACGTTTAGACTTTACAATACTTAAAGAATTAGCTAAATGGGAGCCAAAAAATATAGTTACACACCCAATATGGATTTCAGACCATGCCCCCATTAGCATAGAAATAGATGTCAACTGGGACAAAGTAAAAAGAAACATGGAGATACAATAATATGATCATGTCTAAAGGAAAGGATAAACAATATATGAAAAACCAGATAAAACTATACTTTCAGGAGAACAGAGGAACAGTAACTACAGATATGCTTTGGGATGCAGCCAAGGCTGCAATCAGGGGACAGTGTATAACGAAAGAGAAAGAATTAAAAAAAAAAGATGGCACTCCAAAAGAAATGATAAGATACAAGAACCTGAGAACTTACAAAAACAGCAATTACAGAAATTTTGTCATAATAGAAACAGATTAATTACAGAATTGAAGAAACAATTAGACTCATTAGACTCTAGGGCACTATGGAAAAAACAAGTCATGGTAAGAGATGAATTCCAGAGAAATTCAATAAATTCAGTTAAAAGATTAGCAAACTATTTAAAGAGCAAAAGAGATAAGCAAAGAGTGAGAACCATTAGAGTAAACAGGAATATTTATTTATTTATTTCCTTCAGTTTGTATCCCGCTCACCCCGTTAGGGCTCTGAGCGGCTTACATGTTTCAATTAACACACATCCTAGTCTAGGGCCACATACATATAGGGACAGTGACAAGCCTACCAGGCACCCCTTTTATGTAGCGAATCTTCGTTGGCATCTTTCTTGCGGGAGATAGTCCGGTGGCGTCCTCTCCGGCGCTGGTCTTTGAAGTTCCGCTTTTCGGCTGTTGCGATTCCTTTTCTGGGCCGGGCCACTCGCACTTCCGCACATCCTCGCTACAGCCTCTGTCCAGACTAGGCTCCGGCCTGCTGCGACACTCCGCCTCCGTGCTTGTTGGTCTGGCCTCCTTCGCTCGCTTTTTGCCTCGCCAGCCGCTGCCATCTTTCTCTGCCGCCGCCGCTCATCGTTCACTGCTACCGCTGCTATCCCCCCAATATTTTTTCCAACTTTTGAGATTTTTGTGCACACCTGGGGATCGCCCCAAATATGAACAAAAATCTCCCCGCCCCCCAGGTGCCACCGATGTGCGGATTTAGATATCCGCATGCAGGGGGCACCTTTCGGTATTAGATATATACATATATAGTCATAATTCAGAACTAGGGTGGGGTGTACCAGACATAGCAAGTAATTATGAAGCCTTCCAGTTGAAAACACTTTTAGAAATAGAGGAAGAGGAGACGACGGTGTAGGAAAGAATATTTTAAGTTTGTTAGACAGTGGGATGCTTTTTGGAACGAGCAGGACCTGTACAAAAGAGATGGCCTCCACTTCCCTGACATGGAACCAGGCTGCTGGCAATTAAAATCTACACTGTTTGCATAACTCTTTTATTAAATATCTGTAATTTAAAAACCATACGTTTTCAAGACATCTCCTCTTACCACTGCAGTCAGGAGCTGCTGGTAGTCAGCTAATCTTCTGTGTTAGGGTTGTAATCCAGTAAAATGTAAAAAACAAAGCAGAAATTACATATAATACAGTTTGGTAGGAAAAAAGAGAGAGGAGATAACAAAAGTTGAGGTCAACTTCAGCTCCAGAAGCCCAACTTCTCTCTGCTGCTTTTTTTTTTGTTTTATTAAAAATTGTTCAGAAATTACACATTTTCAACATTAAACAAACCAAATAAACCAAACTGTTTAGTTTTGTTTTAACAATACAAATAAAAAGCAAAACCATTTTTTTATACTGTGGATTATCAGGAATAATGTCATTTTTCAACGAGGGGTGTTGAAAGACCTGAGTCAGATTGAGGTGACGAGAGAGGAGGTCCTAAAACTGATAGACAACTTAAAAACTGATAAATCACCAGGCCCAGATGGCATACATCCGAGAGTTCTGAAAGAACTCAAATGTGAACTTGTAGATCTCCTGACAAAGATATGTAATCTTTCCTTAAAATCTGCCTCCATTCCTGAGGATTGGAAGGTAGCTAATGTCACTCCCATCTTTAAAAAGGGTTCCAGAGGAGATCCGGGAAATTACAGGCCAGTCAGTCTGACGTCGATACCGGGTAAATTGGTGGAAACCATTATTAAGGAAAGAATTAGTAGGCACATAGATGAACAAAACCTATTGAGGCAGACTCAGCACGGTTTCTGTAAGGGAAGATCTTGTCTCACTAACCTGTTAGTGTTCTTTGAGGGGGTGAACAAACATGTGGACAAGGGGGATCCAATAGATATTATTTACCTTGACTTCCAGAAAGCTTTTGATAAAGTTCCTCATCAAAGGCTCCTAAGTAAGCTCAAAAATCATGGGATAGAAGGACAAGTCCTTTTATGGATCAAAAACTGGCTAGTTCATAGAAAACAGAGAGTGAGTGTAGGTGGGCAATTTTCTCAGTGGAGGGTGGTAAGCAGTGGGGTACCGCAGGGATCAGTACTTGGTCCACTGCTTTTTAACTTGTTCATTAATGATTTGGAGATGGGAGTAAGCAGTGAAGTGGCTAAATTTGCGGATGATACAAAGTTGTTCAGGGTGGTGAAAACCAGTGAGGATTGTGAGGCACTCCAAAGGGATCTGTCAAAGATGGGCAAGTGGGCGTCAACATGGCAAATGGGGTTCAATGTGGCCAAGTGCAAGGTGATGCACATTGGAGCCAAAAATCCTAACTATAAATACACGTTGATGGGGTCTGAACTGGCAGAGACTGATCAAGAGAGAGATCTTGGAGTTGTAGTGGATAACTCACTGAAAATGTCGAGACAGTGTGTGACTGCAATAAAGAAGGCCAATGCTATGCTGGGGATTATTAGGAAGGGTATTGAAAACAGATCAGCCAATATAATAATGCCCCTATATAAATCAATGGTGAGACCTCATTTGGAATACTGTGTGCAGTTCTGGTCACCACACCTTAAAAAGGATATTATAGCTTTGGAAAAAGTGCAGAAAAGGGCAACTCGAATGATAAAAGGGTTGGAACACTTTCCCTATGAGGAACGGTTAAGGCGCTTAGGGCTCTTTAGCTTGGAGAAATGATGACTGAGGGGTGACATGATTGAGGTTTATAAGATTATGCATGGGAAAGAGCAGGTAGAGAAAGAGGTACTTTTCTCCCTTTCTCACAATACAAGAACTCGTGGGCACTCCATGAAACTGCAGAGCGGTCGGGTTAGAACGGATAAAAGGAAGTACTTCTTCACCCAAAGAGTGATTAACACATGGAATTCACTGCCACAGGAAGTGGTGGCGGCTACAAGCATGGACGGCTTCAAAAGGGAATTAGATAAGCATATGGAGCAGGGGTCCATCAGTGGCTATTAGCCGCAAGGTATAGATAGGGGCTCTGGGGCAAGGGATGCTCTGTCTTCTTGGTGCTTGGGGGGGGGATCAACAGTGGGAGGGCTTCTAATGTCCTGGTCCCACTGCTGGACCTCCTGATGGCACTGGTATTTCTGGCCACTGTTTTACACAGAGTGTTGGACTGGATGGGCCTTTGGCCTGATCCAACATTGGCGTCTCTTATGTTCTTATATTCTCTCCTTTCCTGATGTGGTAAGTCCAAGAGGGAGATATGTCTGGAGCCTTTGTAAAGTGCTCCCTTCTAGTCACCATTTCTCCCAGACGTCTCCCCCATATGACTCCTTCGATGTGCCATTCTGAGTAAATCCCTTTCAATGCTCCATACATTTGTACAGCTACTCCCCTGTGTGAACCTTTTGATGTTTAGTTAGGGTGCTACTTTGAGAAAAGCACTTTCCACACTTAAGGCATCTATATGGCTTCTCCCCAGTATGAATCCTTTGATGTGATTTTAGGTAGTCATTCCGAGAGAAGCACTTTCCACACTCCAAGCAGTGATATGGTTTCTCCCCAGTATGAATACTTTGATGTGATTTTAGGGAATCATTCCGAGAGAAGCACTTTCCACACTCCAAGCAGTGATATGGCTTCTCCCGGGTGTGAACCCTTTGGTGTGAAGTTAGGCTGAAACGCTGGGAGAAGCACTTTCCACACTCCAAGCATTTATATGGCTTCTCTCCAGTATGAATACTTTGATGTGTCCTTAGGTGGCTATGGTTAGAGAAGCACTTTCCACACTCCAAGCATTTATACGGTTTCTCCCCTGTGTGAACCCTTTGATGTTTAGTTAGGTCAACATCCTGAGAGAAGCACCTTCCACACTCGAAGCATTTATATGGTTTCTCACCAGTATGAACCCTTTGATGTTTCCTTAGGTAGCTACCCCGAGAGAAGCACTTTCCACACTCCAGGCATTTATATGGCTTCTCCCCTGTGTGAACCTTTTGATGTGAAGTTAGGCTGCAACTGTGGGAGAAGCACTGTCCACACTCCAGGCATTTATATGGCTTCTCCCCTGTGTGAACCTTTTGATGTGAAGTTAGGCTGCAACTGTGGGAGAAGCACCGTCCACACTCCAAGCATTTGTATGGCTTCTCCCCTGTGTGAACCTTTTGATGTGATTTTAGTTCACCTTTCTGAGAGAAGCACTTTCCACACTCCAAGCAGTGATATGGCTTCTCCCCGGTATGAACCCTTTGGTGTGCCCTTAAGTGGCTATTGTCAGAGAAGCACCTTCCACACTCCAAGCATTTGTATGGCTTCTCCCCAGTATGAATGTTTAGATGTGTCTTTAGGTTGGTACTGTAGGAGAAGCACTTTCCGCACTCCAAGCAGTGATATGGCTTCTCCCCGGTATGAACCCTTTGGTGTACCCTTAACTGGCCATTGTCAGAGAAGCACTTTCCACACTCCAAGCATTTATATGGTTTCTCCCCTGTGTGAACCTTTTGATGTTTAGTTAGGTCAACATTCTGAGAGAAGCACTTTCCACACTCCAAGCATTTAAATGGCTTCTCTCTAGTATGAATCTTTTGATGTGCAGTTAGGTTGCTATTCTTGGAGAAACCCTTTCCACACTCCAAACATTTATATGGTTTCTCCCCTGTGTGAATCTTTTGATGCCTAGTCCTTGCACTACTCCAATGGAAGCGCTTTCCACATTCCTCACATTTATACCTATTCAAGAATGATGGAACACTCTGATATGTTTTACCACTGAATTTGCAGTTGAACCTTTTCTGGTTCATGGCACCATTAGGTCTCCTCTTTCTCTTCCCTGTTTCATCTCTGGTTGAGACCTCAGGCTTATTTCTCCTTTGCTTCTGTTCTGGTTTCCTTTTCCTTTTGCAACAGCTCTTTGGTACCACTTGATCTCCAGATTCTGCTTCCACCTGTGGATTGTTGTCTTTTCCCACAACTCTCCTTCCTGATTCCTTCTCACTCCCCTTCTCCCTCACATCTCCAACTGCAAGAGAGGGACCAAATTCATTTCAGAATGATAAGATACAAATATCAGTCTGCAGGTACGGTCAATAGTCAATGGTATTGACTTTCTATAACCAGAGCCAAGGGCTTAGGAAAACCTCATCAGTACTTAAAACACACACTAGGATGACTTGGAAAAGAAGAAATAAGTGACCAAAGGTAATCTCTGGCTTCTCTTGCAGAAACCTGCTCTTGAAATCACATTAATGTTAATAAGTTTGTTTAGGGAACACATACAGCAGAACAGGAAAAAAATTGCTCTAAAAATCTTGAATGTTATTAATATATTTTGATTAAATCAAAAGAAT